TATTGGACTGACAAAATAGTTACGTATGAAACTCAAGCATGATGAGCAATGCTGCAAAAAGTTTTGGCATTTTAGCATCCAAATATCCTACATAATTATTTTTATAGTCCAACAAAATTATTTTCTAAATCTAGTTTTTAGATACTTATTTTTATAGTTCAACAAAATCATTTTTTTTGTGTATTGATCATAAAATATATATATGAATTAATTCTATTTTTAAATGATTTTTTTTTTTTTTTTGATGTAGGAATCGGCGACCCGGTGGTGGCGTCTAGACTATCCAATATTCATGGCGGTGGACACACAGAGCTGGCTAGTGCCAGAAGATTGCGACTGGAGAACGAACGATTGGTAGCCGAGGTTGCGAGGTTGAGGAGGTTGTTGCTAAGCGGTGCAGCGCGCGGCGAGGTCGGTGCCGAGGATGCCGCAATGGAAGAAGAAGCGCGGTTTGTCGCTCTAGAAATGGAATTGCAGCACGCGAAGGAAGCACTCCAGGCCTTGAAGGCTGATCGGAAGCGTCTCAAAGCGGAGAAGTTCGATCTTCTCAATCAGATGAAGGCGCTCTACGGCACCCTCGAGGACAAAGAGCGTGAACTCCGCGATTTTATCCGAAATTACGAACAGGTGAGTCAGATAATACTTTCATGTCTTTCTCTGTATATTCTTAGATATTTTTTATCCTTCTGTCAATGCATAATTTTTTTTACCCTTTCATTATGTATTTTACAGAGTTTCTTAAAAATGTAGAATGTAAAAACAAAATAAAGTTTGTGAAGAAAACTATTCTTTGTTGTTCGAAGAAGAGTTTTTGAAGCGTCTTAAAAAACGAAATTTGCACAAAAATATAAAAGTTATTATTATTTAAAATAACTATCCCGGTACTGCATGCATTAATAAAAGGATTAATAATTGTTTTTCCCGAAAAATATTATAAAATAATGATAAGTATAGTGAATAAGTGATTGTTATTGCGAGGAAGATGGTCAAGCAATCGTTTCATTCTGATAAAAGATTTAAATGCCAACTTTAAAGTATCTCTTTAGATTCTGTGAAGATATATTAGTTTGAAAAATTCTATTGATATAAAGGAGGAACATCTATTCTCAAAGAAAGAAAAATATCTCTTTTGTGTGCGACAGTTACGATCAGATTTATATAAAAAGATTTCGATAAAATTATTGGAATTGAAGATATTGGAAAGAGAAATTTCCGCAATTCTTTCAAGCTTTGATGAGAATACTCTAAAATGGGTTTCTTATCGTTTATAATAATCGGCGTCATATGAAAATAATATTTCCACAATTCATAACGATGGAGGACTTTTGCTCTCAAGCTTTTACATTTCACATTCGTTAGACATATCACATAATTTATATCGGAGGAGTCGCATATGGGAAATTTAATCGCAACATTTTCACATTCCTCGTATAGAAGCAATAAATAGTTGTGAAGTAAATAGCCGGCTCCGGAATTTGCATGTCTCATATAGAACGATCGATTTTCGATAGGAGCTACGGCGATGAATTAAGAAAGATGATGGCTGAAACCGGGAGAAATGTTCCGCTGCACTTGATATTTACGAACGTTCAACTTTCGAAATTGCCATCAAGCCATAATTCCTTCTATATATATATAT